GTAACCAGCCCTCAGCAGCGTGCCCCAGGCTGCTGTTCCCGTCTGTCCTCAGCGAGGCTCAAAGCGCCCGACGCGGGCTGCACACAGTGGGGCTGCAGGAGGCTGGCAAGGCCCGAGCCTTGTGCTCCTGGGGCTGCGTCAGGCATCCAGAGGCTGCGCTGCCAAAGGGGGCGCTGCCTGCACCTTAAGGCCTTGTCTACTGCGCCCACCACACATGCACACACACGCACAGGCATGCACACATGTGCACACATATGCACACACACAGGGATGAACACAGATATGTGTGCACACACATGTGCTTTCTCCTCTCTCCCTGTCTGTCTCTCCTCTCCTCCCTCTGTCTCTCCCTCTCTGCCTCCCTCAGGGAGCCCGCCTGGGTTACATTCCCTTGGCTTCCTCCCAGGGACAGGCCCCACCCTGCCACTGTCACGCTCCATAAGGTTGGTTTGGAAATTGAGCGGCACAGACATATCTTCCCACGGCGCCGTCGGCGCTAGGAGAACCCCCACCCCCACGTGCACGTCCTCAGGCTGCTCACCGGTGGGCCGGGGGGTCCTGGGTGGCCTGCCTCACCCTTCGGGCCAGTGGGACCCTGGTGGGGGGGAGGAAAGAACCAACTCTGACCACGGGGGCCTGCGGGGACCCGGACTCCCTGGGGTCGCCGAGAGCCCGTGTGGAGGACGGGGGCAGGTCTAGCAGGGAGGTGACAGCTCCCCTCGCCCTCCACCGCCCCCGAGAGGGAAGCTAGGGGGACCAGGTCCTTCCTGCTGGGCAGAGAGACACAGCCACCCCCTCAGGCTGGAGTGAGCTCAGGACAGGACAGTAGGGGAGCAGCGCGAACCACGTGAGCCAGGGGAGCGCGGGGCCCAGGGTGGGACGCATGCAGGGTGCACACCCTCCCCTGAGTGACAGGCCCCTGCAGGGTGCATACCCTCCCCCGGGTGACGGGGCCCTGCAGGGTGCACACCCTCCCCTGAGTGACAGGCCCCTGCAGGGTGCACACCCTCCCCCAGGTGACAGGCCCCTGCAGGGTGCACACCCTCCCCCGGTGACGGGACCCTGCAGAGTGCACACACCCCCCCGGGTGACAGGGCCCCTGCAGGGTGCATACCCTCCCCCGGGTGACAGGGCCCCTGCAGGGTGCACACCCTCCCCCGGGTGACAGGCCCCTGCAGGGTGCACACCCTCCCCCGGGTGACAGGCCCCTGCAGGGTGCACACCACTTACCGAGGAGCCCTTAGCACCTTTTGGACCGGGAGGACCCTGTGGAGAGGGGGGCGGAGCGTTAGCGAGCAGGAGGCCCCTTCACCCCTGGGCACCCACCTTTGACGCAGTCCCTTTGGGCCGGGCCTGGTCTTCACCCCTTCTTGCATCCGTGTCCCCCTTCCCAGGAGCCTACACTGGACTCATGGACTAGGAGGCGGGGAGGGTGGGTGTGGCTGGTGCTCACCACAGAGGTGGGGAATGTCCTGTCCACCAGGGTCGGCCTCCCAACCCCCCTCAGCCGGAATCACATGCAGGCAGCGGAGGGAGAGGGCGAGAGCGAGGGCGAGCTGGCCCAGCCCCTAGCGCAGTGCCCTCCGGCCC